TGGAATCATCAGGCTTTGAGACAGACAGTCCCCTTTGCCATAGAAACAGTTGGCAAACAAACAAGGGATCGCAGCAGGACTATGGAGAGTCCATTCTGTTTGAAAATCTGTGCTGTGATAATGTTAATTCATTATGAAAATCTACCCAATTAGCCATTTCAGTAAAATGGTAAATTAACTAATCTATTACTGTAGAAATTGCCCTTTTTGCAATTTAATAAAACACAAATGCATAATGGCAAATAAGGTTAATGTGGAAAAATGCCATAGGAAGTAAAAAAAAAAAAAAAAGAAGCTCAACTTGCTAATATGCTAATTAGCTCTCCTAAAACGTAGGTCCTCTTGACTCTAACTTGCCAGTGCTCTGGAACTATTCTAAGAGGGACTATGGAGTCATAAGACGTAAAGCAAACATTAATTTGCAAATTAATTTAGATTGAGAAGTCTTAAGCATATTCCTAGAAAATAATTATTGCAGCCAGAGGACCAAGATGAAGGAAGCACTAACGTTGCTTCTGCTGCACATGGAGCCATTGTGAGCAGGAGCTGGGGCCACAGCATCATGGACGACTCTCCGCATGTGAAATCAGAAAAAAGAACGAAACCACGTCTCTTTCAAGGACCACAGCATGAACACCCAAACATTGGCATTTTTTGTTTTCTTTCTTTTAGGGACCTGATCCAAAGCAGAGAGCAAGACCATACACTAGACCATAAACTGTTTTTAAGGGTCCAAAGCAAATGAACATACAAGTTTGCTTCTAAAACTGCTGAGTTAAACGGTTCATGATGGCCTTTTCATTATAGAAGAGAAATCTAGAGTTAGGGATCTAGACCATAACCAACAGTCAACTTGCATCGCAATGAAGTCAATGCTGACCCGCAGTGATCGCCTGTGAGTCTCGGAGACTGTAACTGTTTACAAGAGTAGAACGCCCCGTCTTTCTCCTGCGGAGCTGCTGGTGGCTTTGAACCATCCCCATCACGACCCAACGTGTAAACCCTCCACCACCAGGGCTCAGACAGTAGTTTTAAAGAAGCGAGTTGTGGCAGCTTAGGTAAAAGAAGTGCTAAACATTAGCTGCTCAATTGACAAAGGTTCCTAAAGAATTAGAATTTGGGGCCATAAATTTGGGCAATTATTTAATGATCCCG